ATGGACACTCGCTACAAAAAAAAAAAACCCACATAAAAAAAACAAAAAAACAAACAAACCAAAAAAGAAAACAACAATAAAAAAACAATAAAAACCCCCAAACAGCACGTTCAAATACGTGTCATGGGCTCACGACAATCCAGACTCGTACGAGCCTCACTGCAGTTGAATTTTTCCCGGAATAGCTAATTAAAAATGTGTTGTTGAAACCAAATCTGTCTCTTGTTTGTAAGTGTTTCACAGCGCTGGCAACTGCACAAAGTCATATCAAAGATCGTGCAGTAGAGAATCTTTGGTCATATGAGCGCACGGGATAGATTAAACATTTTCAGTTTGGTAGGAATTAATTTTGAACTTTGCCTGGGTGGCGGCCGAGGCCAACTCCGATTTTAAACCACCACGTGATCTTTAACAACTTGCGTAACTTGCACATATGACCTCCGAGATGTTTCGCCTTTATCCGAGAAGGCTAGGTGTTAGATTTTACGTACCCTTAGATCAGAGGTGGGGCTGAAAGACTGCAGAAAGGCTAATAAGGAGCAATAAAAAGGCTGCAGAAAGAATCAGGAGCCCAAACGAGAGGGCAAAGGGGTGTAGGTGGTGGATGTGAGGGGGTGGGGTGGATGAGAGGGGATGGGGTGGGGGCAGAAAGTGTAGATGAAAGTAGACGACAGAACATGGTTAGAGAGCACGAAAGGGGGTGAAAGGAGAACGTCATTTTAAAGAAGAAAATTTTCCATCGCTGCGAGGTTTCAAACCGGACACCCGAGAGCCCCCGAAATCTATCTCAGTGTGCATTGAGGGTCTCTGTCAGTCTCATCTCCTGTCCAGCCTAACAGTGCGTTGGTCAATCAGGAACATTAAATTGTGCTAGACCGACCGAGTTAATCATCAGTTATCAGTGTGATAACTCATTAATCACGGTGTTAGATTGTGACGTAAGCTCAAAATAGGCTTTGTAGTATAACATCCTAGATCGTGCTCTCTGACGTATTTCCGGTTCATTTTTTTTATAGCGAAACATTAATTAATTCCGTTTGAGCCAGACTAAGCGCAAGGCGAGACTGGTGTTTTCTCCTGATCATTTGGGTGTATTCATGGCACCATACGGGGTGCGTGCAGAAGTTCAGAAACGTTCACGAGGAGCACCCAGGAAATATTCGGAGACACCCTACCGCACACAGATCCTCTGCTTTGGGGGGTCAAACTGCATATTGTGTGCTGCAGATCACATATAATTATAGCCACTAAAACTGTTCCAAATCAATTTTTTTCATGAACATTTCAAACCTAACTGCAAAATATCAAATTACGGGTTAAAACAGGGGAACATGCCCCCCCCCCCCCTGATTTTTTTTCACTTGGTCCAGAGACACAAAGCAATTTGATTGGTCTATCTCCGGTGGAGACGTCTCCGGATAGATACTGTGAAAGGTGGGAGCCATGATAGTGCTCGATCTAGGATGAGTAGCTCATAAGTCTATGGTTTATATTTACCTGACAAAATTTAGTTATAAGCGCCCTTGTGACCATTTCAATCGTCAACCCTCCTATGACTGCCATGACTAAGGTCACAAACTATGAGAACTTCTGATAACGCTCATTGTGGTCATGAAGTCGATAAACTGTCTGGTGTATCTCGCATAAAGATAGCCAGCCGCACGAAACTTCGGGCATTATCTCTTATCGCGAGTGATGGATGAACGTGTAATTGTTTTTCCCACTTTTCCAATACATCAGTATTATCATCAAGTAAGTTTTGTTTTGGTTGCGTGATTCTTTTCAGCTTTTTAAAAAGATGTTTTTTCTTCAGTGTTTGAGGCCAGGAAGCTTTGTCGAAGTTTTCAACACTCGAAGTTTTCAGCATTCTCTAATAACACTTCTGAATGTGGCTGATAATGAAATACCAGTCTCGAAAATTTCGAAAAGTTTCTAATTCTCCACTAAGATGTGGCGCCTCATGATTTCCATTTTCTTCTCCTTCTTAGCAACCTTTTATTCTGAAATGAATAAAAAAAAAAGTCAAGAAGACTTTTAGGGTTTTGGTTTTGGGTTTTGGGCTAGGAGACAATAATGTGTGTCACGACGTGGGGGAATCAGCCACTCGTCAATTTTTGGGTACATTATGGAGTTATTGGTATCATCTCAAATCGTGTTCATTTGCTTTTCTTTGGTTTAAAATCCATTTACCTCAAAGAAAAGTCGAGATATTTGGCCTTCAAGGAGGTGAGGGTCACCTGGTTTCAGTGGTAAAATTAGCAAGTAAATGGCCGCCGGTCGCCAACATTTGATGACTTCCAAAGCTTGAGAGTAATTGGAAACTGAAGATGTACATTTTGTGTGCCTTTATTCAATGCTTTAAAGAAAAATCAACACACTAATGTGTTTTAAAAGGAGATTAAATATACGAAACCAACCCCCCCCCCCCCCAAGAATTTGATAAAAATGGCCAAATCGTTAGAAACATGCTGATATCTTCGATTTCATTATTTTGACGAGCGCCTGATTCCACCGCGTCCTGACACATAAAGAGTCGCTTCGCTGTCCGTGCCAGGGAGAAGGTGTGGGCCTTCCCCGGGGGAAACTTCGTTATTTGTGAGTTCAGGGAGGACTGGTATTTCGCGTTACAAGTCTCTGGTTTGTGGACATTCTGCTATATACCGGAATATAAAAAACGAACTATATACCATATAGTATAAAAATGAATTATATGCCATAATATGAAAAACGAACTATATACCACAGTATTAAAATGAATTATATACTACAATAAAAAAACGAACTATACACCACAGTATAAAAATGAATTATATGCCACAATAATAAAAACGAACTAAATACCAAGGTATAAAAACGAACTTTAAACCACAGTATAAAAAGGAACTATATTTATACCACAGTATAAAAGCGAAAGCGAACTACATGTATATAACACAGTACTAAAATGAATTGGAAACCACAGTATAAAAACGAGCTATACTATACCACAGTACAAAAACAAACTAAAGGACAACAAGGTAAGAAAACGAGCTTTAAACCACAGCATAAAAAAGGGACTATGTAGCCTACTCTACTCTATGGTATCGAAAAAGCGTCCCACCCCTCCCCGCTTATTAATTTTCTGGGGTTTTTTTGCACACCCCCCC